AACGAAGGTCAGCCGATGTTTCCTATCCCGATCCATAATAACGTTTATCAGATTCCGAATCTTGATTCGATTAAGAACGTTCTGATTCAGGGAATCTCCGGGAATGAAACCGGAAGGAGACGAGGGAGGCCGCGTAAGATTCGGAACCCTAGGGATGTTTTGGTTGATTTTGAGAGAGCAGGACCTGTGTCTGTAGATAAAACTTGTAGCAATTTAGGAAAGGAGAGTAGATTTGATGATTCAGGAATCACCACCATGGATCCAAACTCAAGCAAGAGAAAGAGAGGTCGTCCTCGAAAGAGTGGAGATGGCTTAAATCAATCAGTAGTGAGCTGCAAAAGCGAAGATAAGGAAGAGATTGTGAACTTTGAGAACAGAGAAGGTACAATGGTGGATCTCTCTGCATTGGATAATTATGAAGAGGATCCATATGGAGAGGAGCTGAGGAGGATCACGTTGGGGTTGAAGACGAATGAAGAGTTCTCAGGTTTCTTGCAACAGTTGAATGGTGAATGGGTGAATGCTGGGAAGAAGAAGAAGGTTGTGGAAGCTTGTGATTATGGAGGATACTTGCCCAAAGGATGGAAACTTATGCTCTGCATCAAAAAGAAAGGGAGCAATCTATGGCTGGCTTGTCGCAAATACGTAAGGTATAATAATGTTTTCAACCTATTGTTGCTTTAGTTGTCTTCACTGGTTCTGTTTATCATGTGTATGCCTCTAGTTAGATTATGAAATAGAACTGAAATTGGCTTATGGAATCCTAGCAAAGAATAGTACTGGAGATTTACTTTTACGGATTTTAGAAATTGTATATGGATGGATATATGATGTTGTTTCAGTTTCTGCTGCTAGACTTTTGATTGTCTCTCTTGTTTGTTTTCTATCTTCTTGAGCATATGATAAAACAAACATGTGAACAAGACTTAAGGAATGCTACTGGAACTGGTTATGGTGATTCTCTCTTGTCTTGTTTGCCGTTTTTGGATTATTCTGGAACTGTTGTTATCACTCATAGTTCATGATTATTGATTATTCTGTTTCTTCATGGACTATATATATAGCCCTGATAGGCAGGAGTTTGAAACGTGCAAGGAAGTCTCCACGTATCTGCAATCTCTGCTTGGTTCTCGGAGCAAGAACCAGCTCATTGCCTTGCAATCTGACAACAAGACTCTAGGACAAGCAGTGATGATGGGTAATGAATCTTTAGTAGGTAACTCTGGTTCCATTGACTTGCCTGATTCGAAAGCTGAAACGAACCAGAACCTTGTGAGTAAAAGAACCAACAGTGAAGTGTTTGAGGAAGCGAATGGCGCAGAAAATAGCGATATAATAGAACCAGTGAAAAGCAGTTTGGTGGAGAAAGATGATAAAGGGAATATGAAGAAAAAAGATGATAACTTGGAGAATTTGGTGGTTGCATCGAACTCACAAGCTCAATCTGAGGAGTTTATACAAGACCTTCCATGGACAGCTGAGGAGATTCAACGGATTTGGGGGTCAAGAAACCCCTGAGTTCTCTCCTTGACCAGTTCGCGTTTTTCGGGAAACTAATTCTCTCTCATTTGTAGTTTCAGCTTATATGTTTTCATGCAACCAAAGCATGTTTTGGCTGACACAGGATATATAGAATTTGAAAGGTACATAAGCAAAGCAATTGACAAACCAAATTTTCTTACAAGTTGAATCATAGATTCACTTGATTTTCTTCAAGTTACTTGTGTTATCTTTGGGGTTAAAACAAATTTCAGCAGTTCTGTGTTTGTAGCACACGAGGACGTTTCTTTCTCTGTTTTGTAACGTCAGTATTTACTTTAGCTTACCGGAAATCAGAATTACATGCGCAAAAATGAAACGTTTGGAAACAGAGATAACTAGTTTTGTTTTCAAATTAACAAATTTAGAATAAATCGGAAATAGATTACATTGAATAAGAAATATATAGTAAATTTTTTTGGAAATGAATGTTAATTTTATTTATACTAAAATTGTTTTGCATCGAATTTTTTTGAATTTTTTTTCAATTGTATTTTCAAAATAGAATCAAACATTTTCATGGTATTTTCACATTCGAGTCTGATGGGTTTAATGAAGCAACATTTTAAGTTTAGGTTCTTTGTGCAGAAAAATAAAAACTTTGAGGTGCCTTTTATAATTTAAAAACTTACGTTTCCGAGTTTGTTGACTTAAAAAAAAAAAAGATCCAACGGCCCGTATATTAGCAGCATCAGAGTAATCTTAGGGTTACTACAAATCGAGCATCCATTGATTCAGACTT